CATACTTAGTATCAAGCAAGCTTTCTTATCATACTTAGTATCAAGCAAGCTTTCTTATCATACTTAGTATCAAGCAAGCTTTCGCATCAAGCTTAGTATCAAGCAAGCTTTCTTATCAAACTTAGTATCAAGCAAGCTTTTCGTATCAAGCTTAGTATCAAGCAAGCTTTCTTATCATACTTAGTATCAAGCAAGCTGTCGTATCAAGCTTAGTATCAAGCAAGCTTTCTTATCAAACTTAGTATCAAGCAAGCTTTTCTTATCAAGCTTAGTATAAGCAAGTTTTCTTATCATACTTAGTATCAAGCAAGCTTTCGCATCAAGCTTAGTATCAAGCAAGCTTTCTTATCAAACTTAGTATCAAGCAAGCTTTTCTTATCAAGCTTAGTATCAAGCAAGCTTTCTTATCATACTTAGTATCAAGCAAGCTTTCGCATCAAGCTTAGTATCAAGCAAGCTTTCGTATCAAGCTTAGTATCAAGCAAGCTTTCTTATCAAGCTTAGTATCAAGCAAGCTTACGAATCAAGCTTAGTATCAAGCAAGCTGTTGTATCAAGGAAGTTGTCAAAATAAAGCACCCAGCCTGGAAGACAATTTAGATTAACTTGGGACCAAGTTAACAAGCAGATTCATAACTATAGCACCCTGAGTATAATCAGCTGCTGACTAGGCACTGAGCAGAAAACCTCACATGATCACTACGGTCACCTGGGGTGTTTGAGACTCGAACCCTGGACCCCAAGCTTGTGAGGTCGACGCTCTATCGACTGGGCAATGAGTTGCCTCAAACTCAAGTTTTATCTCACTTGATCACTTCCCCCCTGGCAGATATATGTCAAATGTCAGCACAGCTCTCATGATCATCGCTGAAGTCAGCGTCTGTCAGTCACATCACAGTCACTTTCTGCATTGTAATTGATTTTGATCTTCCATACACAGGTCACAGGAGAGAGAGAGAGAGAGAGAGAGAGAGAGAGAGAGAGAGAGAGAGAGAGAGAGAGAGAGAGAGAGAGAGAGAGAGAGAGAGAGAGAGAGAGAGAGAGAGAGAGAGAGAGAGAGAGAGAGAGAGAGAGAGAGAGAGAGAGAGAGAGAGAGAGAGAGAGAGAGAGAGAGAGAGAGAGAGAGAGAGACGAGAGAGAGAGAGAGAGAGAGAGAGAGAGAGAGAGAGAGAGAGAGAGAGACAGAGAGAGAGAGAGAGAGAGAGAGAGAGAGAGAGAGAGAGAGAGAGAGAGAGAGAGAGAGAGAGAGAGAGAGAGAGAGAGAGAGAGAGAGAGAGAGAGAGAGAGAGAGAGAGACAGAGAGAGAGAGAGAGAGAGAGAGAGAGAGAGAGAGAGAGACAGAGAGTGAGAGAGAGCAAGTGAGTGTGTGTGTACCCAAGTCGGGGTTCCACTTATCCTCTAGCTGACTCAACTAATACTCAGGCAAAGCATGGATTGTCTTCTGAATCATAGCATATTAAGGCAATTACGGGAGATGGACTGATAACAGAGTATGCCCGGGGTATGTTGGACTTATCCACTGGTAACTCATTGATGTAATTTGAATTCAGGAAGACTTGCTCTAAGGCCGCCAGGTACCCCAAATGGAAGGGTATTAGGCTGGATTATTATTTTCATTGCTGGGTATTGGACGGGGTACCAGGCTAACTGGAGTACCAGTAAGTTATTCTCTTGATTCTCACTTAAGCTTAACTTGGAGTTATTATTCCGTAAGCTTGAAGATGCCGCTCCTGTTGGCTCTGGTATTGGTTTCTGTCTGTCGTACCTCGTGTGTTGAAGATAGAGATGATTGAAGATATCTTTATCTGGGTCTATTTGTGGGCAGATATCGTGGCCTCTTCTTCGAAGGTATCCTGATGTGTGTGGGTCGTTGTGGGTGCTGTCAGACCCTGGGGGACTGAGAGGGCTTCATTACAGCCTGACGGCTGCTGGAGTGGTTCTCCTTATTCCTTGTTGCAGTTTCTCTGACCTGTTGGTGGTGTGTCTCTGTGGTCTGGCTATACACGTGGTCTGCAACGTACACGTTCTCATTATCAGAGTCAGATGCAATGAGAAATATATCTGAAATTATGATGATAGGACAACTACCAATTGAGCCACCAGCAACACTTAATAGGAAGGATTCCAGAGACACCTATCTGCTGTCCAACTGAAACTCTAGGCCTTGGGTGCCATTTTGGTATGAAGGTGTTAGATGATCCACGTCCTTGGTACATATATTGCTGTTCGTAAGTGCTTGCGTAACTACCTCGTGAATCTGACCCCAGGTTCGTAAGTGCTTACGTAACTACTTCGTGAATCTGACCCCAGGTTCGTAAGTGCTTACGTAACTGCTTCGTGAATCTAGCCCCTGGTTCGTCAGTGCTTACGTAACTGCTTCGTGAATCTAGCCCCAGGTTCGTCAGTGCTTACGTAACTGCTTCGTGAATCTAGCCCCAGGTTCGTCAGTGCTTACGTAACTGCTTCGTGAATCTGACCCCAGGTTCGTAAGTGCTTACGTAACTGCTTCGTGAATCTAGCCCCAGGTTCGTAAGTGCTTACGTAACTGCTTCGTGAATCTAGCCCCAGGTTCGTCAGTGCTTACGTAACTGCTTCGTGAATCTAGCCCCAGGTTCGTCAGTGCTTACGTAACTGCTTCGTGAATCTAGCCCCAGGTTCGTCAGTGCTTACGTAACTGCTTCGTGAATCTAGCCCCAGGTTCGTCAGTGCTTACGTAACTGCTTCGTGAATCTAGCCCCAGGTTCGTCAGTGCTTACGTAACTGCTTCGTGAATCTAGCCCCAGGTTCGTCAGTGCTTACGTAACTGCTTCGTGAATCTAGCCCCAGGTTCGTCAGTGCTTACGTAACTGCTTCGTGAATCTAGCCCCTGGTTCGTCAGTGCTTACGTAACTGCTTCGTGAATCTAGCCCCAGGTTCGTCAGTGCTTACGTAACTGCTTCGTGAATCTAGCCCCAGGTTCGTCAGTGCTTACGTAACTGCTTCGTGAATCTGACCCCAGGTTCGTCAGTGCTTACGTAACTGCTTCGTGAATCTAGCCCCAGGTTCGTCAGTGCTTACGTAACTGCTTCGTGAATCTGACCCCAGGTTCGTCAGTGCTTACGTAACTGCTTCGTGAATCTAGCCCCAGGTTCGTCAGTGCTTACGTAACTGCTTCGTGAATCTAGCCCCTGGTTTGTTAACATCTGGTCGCATACAGGAGTTTATATATTGTTATATAATCCTAATACTGAATTACCTTTATGCTATCAGTGTTGAATTTAATACTGACACCGTTTTGGTCATTTATATTTACACAGGAAGGTACAGGAGTGGAAGTCTGAGTCCTGTTTACAGGCTCAGGAGAGTAGCCTGTAGAGAGCTCTCTACAGGTTCAGGAGAGTAGCCTGTAGAGAGCTCTCTACAGGTTCAGGAGAGTAGCCTGTAGAGAGCTCTCTACAGGATCAGGAGAGTAGCCCGTAGAGAGCTCTCTACAGGTTCAGGAGAGTAGCCTGTAGAGAACTTTTTACAGGCTACTCTCTACAGTAGCTCTCTACAGTAGCCTATAGAGAGGCTACTGTAGAGAGCTGTAGTGGTGCTCTATAGTAGCCTGAAGAGAGCTCTCTACAGGCTAAGAGAGCCCGTAGAGAGCTCTCTACAGGCTCAGGAGAGTAGCCTGTAGAGAGCTCTCTACAGGCTCAGGAGAGTAGCCTGTAGAGAGCTCTCTACAGGCTCAGGAGAGTAGCCTGTAGAGAGCTCTCAACAGGTTCAGGAGAGTAGCCTGTAGAGAGCTCTCTACAGGCTCAGGAGAGTAGCCCGTAGAGAGCTCTCTACAGGCTCAGGAGAGTAGCCTGTAGAGAGCTCTCTACAGGCTCAGGAGAGTAGCCTGTAGAGAGCTCTCTACAGGCTAAGAGAGCCCGTAGAGAGCTCTCTACAGGCTCAGGAGAGTAGCCTGTAGAGAGCTCTCTACAGGTTCAGGAGAGTAGCCTGTAGAGAGCTCTCTACAGGTTCAGGAGAGTAGCCTGTAGAGAGCTCTCTACAGGATCAGGAGAGTAGCCCGTAGAGAGCTCTCTACAGGTTCAGGAGAGTAGCATGTAGAGAACTTTTTACAGGCTACTCTCTACAGTAGCTCTCTACAGTAGCCTATAGAGAGGCTACTGTAGAGAGCTGTAGTGGTGCTCTATAGTAGCCTGAAGAGAGCTCTCTACAGGCTAAGAGAGCCCGTAGAGAGCTCTCTACAGGCTCAGGAGAGTAGCCTGTAGAGAGCTCTCTACAGGTTCAGGAGAGTAGCCTGTAGAGAGCTCTCTACAGGTTCAGGAGAGTAGCCCGTAGAGAGCTCTCTACAGGCTCAGGAGAGTAGCCTGTAGAGAGCTCTCTACAGGTTCAGGAGAGTAGCCCGTAGAGAGCTCTCTACAGGCTCAGGAGAGTAGCCTGTAGAGAGCTCTCTACAGGTTCAGGAGAGTAGCCTGTAGAGAGCTCTCTACAGGTTCAGGAGAGTAGCCCGAAGAGAGCTCTCTACAGGCTCAGGAGAGTAGCCTGTAGAGAGCTCTCTACAGGCTCAGGAGAGTAGCCTGTAGAGAGCTCTCTACAGGCTAAGAGAGCCCGTAGAGAGCTCTCTACAGGCTCAGGAGAGTAGCCTGTAGAGAGCTCTCTACAGGTTCAGGAGAGTAGCCTGTAGAGAGCTCTCTACAGGTTCAGGAGAGTAGCCTGTAGAGAGCTCTCTACAGGATCAGGAGAGTAGCCCGTAGAGAGCTCTCTACAGGTTCAGGAGAGTAGCCTGTAGAGAACTTTTTACAGGCTACTCTCTACAGTAGCTCTCTACAGTAGCCTATAGAGAGGCTACTGTAGAGAGCTGTAGTGGTGCTCTATAGTAGCCTGAAGAGAGCTCTCTACAGTAGCCTGTAGAGAGCCTGCTAAGCTCTTTATAGCTTTTCATATGTCTTTCTTGTTTTCCCTGGAACACGACCCAGTGAATTAGTTTAGAACCAGGTTCCCAACTGCTGCTGGGTGATCAGGAGGGAGTAGTTAATGACGGGTGGCTGTGTTAGCCCTGCCTGGCTGGGGCTCGAACCCAGGTGAAATTGAGACAAGTGGTCCCTTCGAGAGGTTATACTCCACACAAGGCGTCACCGCATCCAGGGGCGTCACAGCACCCAGGGGCGTCACACCAGCCAGGGGCGTCACACCAACCAGGGGCGTCTCACCCAGGGGGGTCACACCCAGGGGCGTCACAGCATCCAGAGGCGTCACACCCAGGGGCGTCACAGCACCCAGGGGCGTCACAGCACCCAGGGGCGTCACAGCACCCAGGGGCGTCACAGCACCCAGGGGCGTCACAGCACCCAGGGGCGTCACAGCACCCAGGGGCGTCACAGCACCCAGGGGCGTCACACTTATGGGCGTCACACCCAGGGGCGTCATAGCACCCAGGGGCGTCACAGCACCCAGGGGCGTCACAGCACCCAGGGGCGTCACAGCACCCAGGAGCGTCACAGCACCCAGGGGGGTCACTCCCAGGGGCGTCACAGCACCCAGGGGCGTCACACCCAGGGGCGTCACACCCATGGGCGTCATAGCACCCAGGGGCGTCACAGCACCCAGGGGCGTCACAGCACCCGGGGGGGGTCACACCCAAGGGCGTCACAGCACCCAGGGGCGTCACAGCACCTAGGGGCGTCACAGCACCCAGGGGCGTCACAGCACCCAAGGGGGTCACACCCAGGGGCGTAACACCCATGGGCGTCACACCCAGGGGCGTCACAGCACCCAGGGGCGTCACACCCAGGGGCGTCATAGCGCCCAGGGGCGTCACACCCAGGGGCGTCACACCCAGGGGCGTCACAGCACCCAAGGGGGTCACACCCAGGGGCGTAACACCCATGGGCGTCACACCCAGGGGCGTCACAGCACCCAGGGGCGTCACACCCAGGGGCGTCATAGCGCCCAGGGGCGTCACACCCAGGGGCGTCACAGCACCCAGGGTCGTCACACTACCCAGGGGCGTCACAGCACCCAGGGGCGTCACAGCACCCAGGGGCGTCACAGCACCCAGGGGCGTCACAGCACCCAGGGGGGTCACACCTAGGGACGTCACACCCAGGGGCGTCACACCCAGGGGTGTTACAGCACCTAGGGGCGTCACAGCACCCAGGGGCGTCACACCCAGGGGCGTCACAGCAGCCAGGGGCGTCACAGCAGCCAGGGGCGTCACAGTAGCCAGGGGCGTCACACCCAGGGGCGTCACACCCAGGGGAGTCACACCCAGGGGCGTCACAGCACCCATGGGCGTCACAGCACCCAGGGGCGTCACAGCACCCAGGGGGGTCACACCCAGGGACGTCACACCCAGGGGCGTCACACCCAGGGGCGTTACAGCACCTAGGGGCGTCACAGCACCCAGGGGCGTCACACCCAGGGGCGTCACAGCAGCCAGGGGCGTCACAGCAGCCAGGGGCGTCACAGCACCTAGGGGCGTCACAGCACCCAGGGGCGTCATACCCAGGGGCGTCACAGCAGCCAGGGGCGTCACAGCACCCAGGGGCGTCACACCCAGGGGCGTCATAGCGCCCAGGGGCGTCACAGCACCCAGGGGCGTCACAGCACCCAGGGGCGTCACAGCACCCAGGGGCGTCACAGCACCCAGGGGCGTCACAGCACCCAGGGGCGTCACACCCAGGGGCGTCACACTAGTGTACAAATACTAGGATAAAGAAAGGGGCGAGTCAGGTGTGTACCGGAGCTACGGACATGACTTGCACAGGACTCCGCAGGTGGTCCTGTGATTGAAAGCGACTTGGGAAACCTACGCTGACCTTCCCCCTCCCCCCCCTGTCTCTGGTCCTGGGTCGACCTTCCCTTGCGTCGACGGGAGAGACTGAACCAGTGGGTGGAAAGTTGAATATCAGTTGATTTCATCTATCTTCGACGGCCCTTGAACGTGTACTGCTCGTCTCTCTCACACACACATGTCACGTCAGAGACACATATGTGTCTGTTCGTACACACACACGTTCCGGCAGTGGAGTCATATGTGTTCTGTTGCACACGCCACGGGGCGCATTCAGATGTGTCTTTACGCGTCACGGCGGTCCGATAACTCTTCAGCCCTGCACGACAAACCCGCGTCACCTCCTTCGTGTGTCGGCGGGCAGACGGCCCCCATGCACGAATGCGACGAATGAGGCGGTATTTCCACCTCGCACGTCATCGCCACTCATCGTACCTCCGGCATGTCAACAAGGGATGTCATGCTGAGGTGAAATCCGATTATTATCGTCAATTGTCTCAGAGGCTTCGTCTCCTCATTAAACCTCGTCAGAGACGTTTAATGGCGCGTTTAAAATGATTTCATTTGCATAACAGAGACGTTTTGGCTGAGTATTATGGGTGAGAGTAGATAGAATAGCGGTCAATAACCGTCTATCGGGAGCCGTGACCAGTCAATCTCAGAACCCCCGGGCGCGCCTTGACTCCTCGGGTCCGCCATGTTTGTTTACATCCCGCAAGAAACAATTGCACATCGGCGTCCTGCGGTTCACGTCCAATAAGCATTATTTATTCCTCTGTTTCTTTAGCGGGCTCAGACATAACATATCCTGCAGTTGGTATGGATAGTCCCTTTGTGGATAGACGCGGCGGACGCCCCGTACCATTGCAGAAATATAAAAAAATTGAAGTTTTTCAAAGGCTAGGCTACCCGGGCTAGTCAATAACGTGTCATTAGAGAGTCAGCCGACGGCGGCAGAGATTGTAATTCACACCCACGGTGAAACTTGTAATGGGTGATGCTACGGGGGTTTCCATTTAATTATAGAAGGGGTCCCTTCGAAGCCTTGTTCATGACAGGTATTTGAGAGGACGATTCTTGGAACAATGGAGTCGAACCCTATATTGGTCTCTTGTTGTTGAGGGAGATCAGGAGACGGCAGTTGATTGGTGAATATGCTGGCTGGACCCCACACTCTCCTGATTCCAGCAGTGCCTATTACACTGAACTCCAGACTCTCCTGGTTCCAGCAGTGCCTATTACACTGGACCTCAGACTCTCCTGATTCCAGCAGTGCCTATTACACTGAATTCCAGACTCTCCTGATTCCAGCAGTGCCTATTACACTGGACCTCAAACTCTCCTGATTCCAGCAGTGCCTATTACACTGGATTCCAGACTCTCCTGATTCCAGCAGTGCCTATTACACTGACTGGGCTAAAAACTCTCCAGCCGGCAGTACCTATTTCACCAATAGACCCCTTACTCTCCTGCTGGTGATAGGTCTATTGCACAGTGCAGATTCCAGGCTCTCTTGTTGATGGTGTGATGGGGGGGGGGGCTACACTGTGACCAGCAGGAGACTCTTACACTGATGCAGAAAGAGCATGTATATTGCACCTGCACCAGGTCCACTAGGTCCTGTACCCACCTAACACAGTGTTACAAGGTGCTGCACCCCACTAACACAGTGTTACATGGTCCTGTACCCCACTAACACAGTGTTACAAGGTCCTGTACCCACCTAACACAGTGTTACAAGGTGCTGTACCCCACTAACACAGTGTTACAAGGTTCTGCACCCCACTAACACAGTGTTACAAGGTGCTGTACCCCACTAACACAGTGTTACAAGGTCCTGTACCCACCTAACACAGTGTTACAAGGTGCTGTACCCCACTAACACAGTGTTACAAGGTCCTGTACCCCACTAACACAGTGTTACAAGGTGCTGTACCCCACTAACACAGTGTTACAAGGTGCTGTACCCCACTAACACAGTGTTACATGGTCCTGTACCCACCTAACACAGTGTTACAAGGTGCTGTACCCCACTAACACAGTGTTACAAGGTCCTGTACCCCACTAACACAGTGTTACAAGGTGCTGTACCCCACTAACACAGTGTTACAAGGTCCTGTACCCCACTAACACAGTGTTACATGGTCCTGTACCCCACTAACACAGTGTTACAAGGTGCTGTACCCCACTAACACAGTGTTACAAGGTCCTGTACCCCACTAACACAGTGTTACAAGGTCCTGTACCCCACTAACACAGTGTTACAAGGTGCTGTACCCCACTAACACAGTGTTACAAGGTCCTGTACCCCACTAACACAGTGTTACAAGGTGCTGTACCCCACTAACACAGTGTTACAAGGTCCTGTACCCCACTAACACAGTGTTACAAGGTCCTGTACCCCACTAACACAGTGTTACAAGGTGCTGTACCCCACTAACACAGTGTTACAAGGTCCTGTACCCCACTAACACAGTGTTACAAGGTGCTGTACCCCACTAACACAGTGTTACAAGGTCCTGTACCCCACTAACACAGTGTTACATGGTCCTGTACCCCACTAACACAGTGTTACAAGGTGCTGTACCCCACTTACACAGTGTTACAAGGTCCTGTACCCCACTAACACAGTGTTACAAGGTCCTGTACCCCACTAACACAGTGTTACAAGGTGCTGTACCCCACTAACACAGTGTTACAAGGTCCTGTACCCCACTAACACAGTGTTACAAGGTGCTGTACCCCACTAACACAGCGTTACAAGGTCCTGTACCCCACTAACACAGTGTTACAAGGTCCTGTACCCCACTAACACAGTGTTACAAGGTGCTGTACCCCACTAACACAGTGTTACAAGGTCCTGTACCCCACTAACACAGTGTTACAAGGTGCTGTACCCCACTAACACAGTGTTACAAGGTCCTGTACCCCACTAACACAGTGTTACAAGGTCCTGTACCCCACTAACACAGTGGTACAAGGTGCTGTACCCCAATAACACAGTGTTACAAGGTCCTGTACCCCACTAACACAGTGTTACATGGTCCTGTACCCACCTAACACAGTGTTACAAGGTCCTGTACCCCACTAACACAGTGTTACAAGGTCCTGTACCCACCTAACACAGTGTTACAAGGTCCTGTACCCCACTAACACAGTGTTACATGGTCCTGTACCCACCTAACACAGTGTTACATGGTCCTGTACCCCACTAACACAGTGTTACAAGGTCCTGTACCCCACTAACACAGTGTTACATGGTCCTGTACCCACCTAACACAGTGTTACAAGGTCCTGTACCCCACTAACACAGTGTTACAAGGTCCTGTACCCCACTAACACAGTGTTACATGGTCCTGTACCCACCTAACACAGTGTTACAAGGTCCTGTACCCCACTAACACAGTGTTACAAGGTCCTGTACCCACCTAACACAGTGTTACAAGGTCCTGTACCCCACTAACACAGTGTTACATGGTCCTGTACCCACCTAACACAGTGTTACATGGTCCTGTACCCCACTAACACAGTGTTACAAGGTCCTGTACCCCACTAACACAGTGTTACAAGGTGCTGTACCCCACTAACACAGTGTTACAAAGTTCTGTACCCCACTAACACAGTGTTACAAGGTCCTGTACCCCACTAACACAGTGTTACAAGGTGCTGTACCCCACTAACACAGTGTTACATGGTCCTGTACCCCACTAACACAGTGTTACAAGGTTCTGTACCCCACTAACACAGTGTTACAAGGTGCTGTACCCCACTAACACAGTGTTACAAGGTGCTGTACCCCACTAACACAGTGTTACAAGGTCCTGTACCCCACTAACACAGTGTTACAAGGTTCTGTACCCCACTAACACTGTGTTACAAGGTGCTGTACCACACTAACACAGTGTTACAAGGTGCTGTACCCCACTAACACAGTGTTACATGGTCCTGTACCCCACTAACACAGTATTACAAGGTTCTGTACCCCACTAACACAGTGTTACAAGGTGCTGTACCCCACTAACACAGTGTTACAAGGTGCTGTACCCCACTAACACAGTGTTACAAGGTGCTGTACCCCACTAACACAGTGTTACAAGGTGCTGTACCCCACTAACACAGTGTTACATGGTCCTGTACCCCACTAACACAGTGTTACATGGTCCTGTACCCCACTAACACAGTGCTACAAGGTCCTGTACCCACCTAACACAGTGTTACAAGGTCCTGTACCCCACTAACACAGTGTTACATGGTCCTGTACCCCACTAACACAGTGTTACAAGGTTCTGTACCCCACTAACACAGTGTTACAAGGTGCTGTACCCCACTAACACAGTGTTACAAGGTGCTGTACCCCACTAACACAGTGTTACATGGTCCTGTACCCACCTAACACAGTGTCACAAGGTCCTGTACCCACCTAACACAGTGTTACAAGGTCCTGTACCCCACTAACACAGTGTTACATGGTCCTGTACCCCACTAACACAGTGTTACATGGTCCTGTACCCCACTAACACAGTGTTACATGGTCCTGTACCCCATTAACACAGTGTTACATGGTCCTGTACCCCACTAACACAGTGTTACAAGGTGCTGTACCCCACTAACAGTGTTACAAGGTCCTGTACCCCACTAACACAGTGTTACAAGGTCCTGTACCCCACTAACACAGTGTTACAAAGTCCTGTACCCCACTAACACAGTGTTACATGGTCCTGTACCCACCTAACACAGTGTTACAAGGTCATGTACCCCACTAACACAGTGTTACAAGGTCCTGTACCCACCTAACACAGTGATAAGTGAACAATTATCAATAGAAGTCATCAAGGAAGGGAGACTATTAGTTCATTGACAGGTGGAAAATGACATTTATAACATCAGAAGACGACTGATGGCATTTGTCATCTCCCGCTTCCTGTTGACAGCTTCCTGTTGACAGCTTCCTGCTGACAGCTTCCTGTTGAGATCTTCCTGTTGAGATCTTCCTGTTGACAGCTTCCTGTTGAGATCTTCCTGTTGACAGCTTCCTGTTGAGATCTTCCTGTTGAGATCTTCCTGTTGAGATCTTCCTGTTGAGATCTTCCTGTTGAGATCTTCCTGTTGAGATCTTCCTGTTGACAGCTTTCCTCCAGCTCGTCAGACTCTATGTTGACTGCTTGTCTTTCAATGGTAAATAGTTCTCTCTAAGGACCGTTCTGAACCATTATCAAGTTGTTAGTTCTACATGATAGTGGTTCAGGAGGAACCGAAGCATCGTTGTTTGTTAATTAGTTCATGTTTTTATTAGTCGACGTGTCTTCAGTCATGTTATTGAGACTCGTCTTCTGTGTGATAAAGAAAATGAGAAGTTTTACCTCTATTCCGCTTTTCAAATAAAGTTTATTACAATAAGAATAAGTCAGTATAGGGTAAAT